CCCCCCCCCCCCCCCCCCCCCCCCCCCCCCCCCCCCCCCCACCCCCTGCCCCCCGACCTTTGCAGCACTTCCAGGATGGTGCCCTGTGGACCCCTGCTCCACGCTACCGTTCTCCCTCACAAGAGGATCGAGAATGGGTGGGGTGGGGGTTATTCACAGAGGATGATAGCAGGAAAGATGTAGACCTAGATGCTGATTGGACTGATCAGATATGACATGGAAGCAGCCATTCTATAACTCTAGGTTCAAGGACAACATCAATATGTATGGCAACACAGATTATTGCAGGACAGTAATCAGTAAGTGGACGCTAACACAGAGCATCACAGCTGTCATAACAAGAGGCACTGTGATTGGCCAGTTCCATTGGGGACAAATCAGTCATCAAGCGAACGTGACGGACGTCACATTCGTAAGATTGCTAAAGGCATGTAAAAACCAGTGGTTGGCTGGCACTGCATATGCAAGTTTGATTTACCAACATGTGAGAGAAAAGCAAGCCCAGATTTTGTGTCTTTACTACAATCTTCCCACACCATCCACAGACCCAATGGCCAAACTGTCTCACCTCCCCCCTCCTGCCAAATCTCAAATAAAGTCCCTGCGTTTTGCTGCCATGCCTGTTTCACGCTGGTCGGTGCCACGTGTCGACCAGCAGAAGCCTTGAAAGCAGACTGCAGCATTTGTCTGTGAAGTAACGTTACTCATTAAGTTATTGTAAAAGTGGTGACCACCAACATTAAACAGACATCACGTTCATGCCCAGATGTGATAAGATGCCACTAAATCACACTTTGCTGATTCAATCCATCTCCTATAAATGCTTATCCGGTGCAGGGTCACGATGAGGCTGGAGCCCCTCCCAGTCCAACACAGGACAGGGGACACCCAGGACGGGATGACAGTCCATCGCAGGACACAGGACAGGGGACACCCAGGACGGGATGACAGTCCATCGTAGGACACAGGGCAGGGGACACCCAGGACGGGATGACAGTCCATCGTAGGACACAGGGCAGGGGACACCCAGGACGGGATGCCAGTCCAGCACAGGCACACACACACATACAACATGGAAACACTACCAGGCCCACAGGGCAGGTGGTAGCAATCAAACCCACCGTGCCCCCCCCCCGGATCCTCGATGGCGCACCGGATTGTGACGGCTTAGCCGCCAGATTTTCAAGCACAAAACCCAAATCCCATTTACACATCCCCGGAAATTCTTTCACATCCATGAACAGGGACCGACATGCCGGGGGTGGGGGTGGGGGGGCTCGTTAGTGCCTGATCCCTCCTTTAGAATCACTCCCTCTTTGCAAAGATTAATTGGATGATAAGTCACCCTACCTAGCATTTAAAGGATCTGAACAAACAGGACCTGAAATAACATCCGCGAAAACTGGCACAGCAGCCATCCTCGACATGCCGGTTTGCAAAAG